TAGTAGTAGTAGTAGAGGAGCAGCAGTACGAGTACGAGAACTAGTGGTAGCTTGAGTACTAGTAGCAGTAGAATCAGCAGGAGGAGGAGGAGGAGCAGGATCAGGAGTAGTAAGTAGAAGTAGTAGACTACGACTACTCGGTAAAAAGTAATTAGATTTGATAGTAGCAGCAACAATAGTTTTCCTAGTCGTACTAGTATTTATAGGCGGACAAGCAACAGCAGCATTTGTGGCAGAGAAGGGGTAGCAGCAGTCGCAGCCTGCAGCAGCAGCCTGCAGCAGCAGCAGCAGCAGCAGCAGCAGTGTGACAGCCTCTCAGTGTATCCTCAGTATTATGACAGTACTATGTCACTATGTCGTCACACAAGAGTCTGCTTCAACGTCTTTTTGCTTCGTGATGCATCTTGCAAGGGGGCGAGCATTGTGCCTTGAAAAGCATTAGCCAACACGTGCACAAGCTCGGTGGCTAGGGCAGAATCACAGGTGAAGGGAAGGCAGCTGTGGAATAATGAGATACACCCACTCGGATTCAAAGCTGCCGCACATGAATTGAAAACTCAGAGCACTTGAGCAATCAGCAACGAGCTCACAACAAGAGACGGAATCTCGGTTGAGGCCTGCCCGACGTTTGCCGGAGTTGAGGTCCTAGGCGTCGTCGTCTCTGAATTAGTCATGTTGGCTCCGCTATCGTTCGACTGCGAATCCTCCTCGGTGTCAGCCTGAGATGCTGTTGTGCTGGTGACCTGAGATGCCGTTGTGGTGGTGGACGATTCTCCAGCCCCAGTGGCATTGCTGGAGCCTGCAGAAATGTTTGCTGCGAGTATGGCACTTGCGTTCGCAGTCCGCAGCAAAGCGACTTCTTCTGCTGTGAGATCTTGTCCCGCTTTCAGCATCGGAAATCCTGTGGAATGAATGGCAAGGTCTCGGCACATCTGTTGTGTTGCTGTCTCACTTCGTGGCTTCAAGTTGGCCTCCCATGCCTCTGGGCCCTTGTGGCCCTGGTGAGGCCAGGAGAAATCGCAAACGACGATGGGAGCTGAGAGCGTGTTGTCGAAGCCACAGCCGACCATGGTATGATTGTGCCAAAGAAGGATCACCATGTGGCCGCTGTTATAGGAACCGCCAGCATTCTGCACGGCTGGAATGCTGAAGTTGTGAACACCGATCTCTTGGTACCACGAATTCACACCTCGGGTGCAGGAGTCGGTGCCCCAGGTCAGCACCTCTGTGTACTCGGGGTAGAAGCTGCCCCCCCAACCAGAATGGATCGATGGCTTGTCTGGCTTCTGGGCCCACTCTTGGGCGCTTCCGGCGATACCTTCATGGTAAATCACCGGCGGAGCGTCGTGTAGGCAGCGGAAGAAGTTGATGTTGGCCATGCAGCACTCTGGTCCGGTGAGGGAATAGCCTGGTTCTTTGGTCTAGGCTACGATGCTCGGGCTTTAAGTCTAAACTAGCTCGATTTCTCAGTTTTGTCAGCTACTGGTAGCTCCCTTATTCCGTAACACAAGACCAGTGGCAAGACGGAGGCTCCAAGATCTCGAAGGGCTGTAGCAAGAAGCTAGGCTCGTAACCGTACTTGGCCAAAAAGGTCGGCTGGTCGAAGATGACCTCAGGGCTCCCTGTCTTTCGGGGTCCTCGGGGATTAAGGGTCCTTCTGGTTTGGGGTCGATGTTGGGATCCTCCTTTTTTCCATTCTCTCTGTAGCTCCCCACCTCTTGATACGAGCCGTAGCATTGCTGCAACTCCTGACAGAAGACGCCTCCCATGTCTGCAGAGCAGTCGCTGTTGAACCGCTGGGTGCATGCTTGAGTGTCGTTATAACTCGTCATTTTGTAGTAGCTTAGGCTGCTGCTCCCCCAGACCGTATTGCACACGTCTCCATCTTCAATGGGCCCCACGCATTGGTATGGCTCACTCTGGATGTAGTCGCAGGCCGCAGGACAGAGGAAGCTTGCATCTCCCGTCCTATCACATCGGACTTCCGAAGCATCTGCCAAGGTTACAGTGAGGTTGGGATCGCCACTGCTTAAAACTGAACGTGGCCACTTGCACTTGTAAATCTTGGCGGCCTGGAGCACTGGCAACACGAGGAACCATCGCAAGCTCTGGGACATGACTCGCTAATCCGCTACTGCTCTCTCCGCCCGCAGCCACGAATCTGCAGGCCGAACACTCCAGCAATCTGCAACCAAGAATCAGCTGAGGGTTGTAATGATAAAAGCTTGGGTTATGCCAGACGGCGAAGACAGAGAAACCCAAGAACAACGAACAACTCTCAGTTGTATCAGCTGGCAAGCTTTCCAGTGGCGCTTTTTTGCAGAGAACAAGCCTTCCCTGGTCCGTCAGACGGCGAAGATACTGGTTACCTCGCAGGTTCACGCATGTGCATGCTATGACTGTGATATTCTAGCTGGAAGGAATCCAGGAAAAGCCGTGGAAGTTTATGCAGCATGCGTGGTTCATAGCGAAGTTCGGGGGGTGGATCCGCGAGGGAGTAGGGCCTTACGGTTGACAGACTCGGTTTTATGGAAATCTCCATGCTTTTCTTCAGACCTGCCAAGGAGAGAAGAAACGATCGTGACAAGCCAAGTCCATCTTGTGGTCATGGCCGAAACGGAGCCAGGGCGCTGAAAGATGACCGCTGTGTGAGTTAAGTCTAGCTGCTAGCTAGTGGAATTCTCGTTGGTTGGACACTCTAAATACGGTGCCCTTGTGCTCCAAAGGAAAGACCAAGACATTCTTAAGACCGCAAGCAACCGAGCCTGTAGGACTGCAGGTCCTCCGACAGATGCCCAGCACTGCCGAATTCACGCAGCAACACCTCAGATGGCAAATGCAGCCCCCCTTTCAAAAGGATGAAGCGCCGCCTTTTCGAGTGCAGCCTCGGAGCGGCCCCGTCGCTTCGGATCTCGATCCAGGAGATAGTCGAATGGTTTGCCTGGATCGACACGGCATCTCTGCCCACCCCCCCCTCTCCTCATCCGTCTTAAGGAAAGCTGAGATGCTTTCGGCTACGGCGCAGCAGACGCGGGAATGCAGCTGGCAGCATTGCTTGACTCAGCGGTTGGACGAGTGTGCTGCGCGGCAAGCCGGGCCAGCTCAAGCCGCCCTGTACTCTCGACTTGCGCGCAATCTAAGGCCTGATTCTGTTTTCAGGACATCTATCAAGTGATGTACCAAAATTGAACTGCATGGTGTCGTTTGCCATGCCGGCATGCTCACGGCGACGATCGTGGCCCCCTAAAGCATGGTCTAAAATTCTGGGACTCCCAGGGTCCTCTTGACAGAAACACCCCCGAAATCTAAAGCCTAAACCACCTGGACCTAGTACTCAACGAAATCTAAACCCTAAGCCCTAAACATCCCTAAACCACAGAAGTACTCAAACCCAAGGACTGACACTTTCAAAAACCGCTCGGCGAGCTCAGAGCCCCCGGCCGCGAAGCGGGACCACACCAAGGGGCTCAGCTGAAGCGCTCGGCCTCAGCTCGTCTCTGCACCGAGGAGTTCGTTTCATGAGACGTATAGGGGCTAGTTCTCTGAATTAGGGTCCTGCTGTGCAGTATTATCTTGGGGGCCTAAAAAGGGAGTTCTTTTCATGAGACGTATATGGGGTAGGGTTGATGATATAAATCCTTAGCATTACCCATAAGAAGGAAAAACACCATAATTCCCATGGTTTCGCAAAGTAAATGCAGGATTTCTATCATCAACCGTAGTTCTCTAAATTAGGGTCCCTTTTAGGCCCTTTTTATAAGGGTGCCGTACTATATTAGGGTCGAGGACAGCAAGGCCTGACATGCGGGCCGCTGTAAGGCTTTGCCTGCCGCTCAGCAGGTTTCATGGGCTCCAAAATCAATGCAAGTCGTACTTGGCTGCCAAGTTTCAGCAAGGGACCAGTAAAATCTTTTCGCGGGCCCAAAGAATCAACAAAACATGGTGCATGACTTTTGGAAAAGGACTGCAAGGTACCGAAATTCAAGAGACATGTCGATTAGGACCATTCAGACACGTCCGGAGTGCTCCAGTCTCGGGCTCTCCGAGCTTGGAAGAATTTTGGTCCGCGTGTTATACTGACAAGTCATTGAGATCGAATTGGGGCAAGGAGAAGGTTCGTGGTGGGATATGTAGATCAGTTGCACATCTGACAACTGTTGCCCTTTCATGGGGTGGAGACGGACAACATCCTTCATTACCCATGACAAGAGATGAGCCATAATTTCCAAAGCTTCGTCAACAGTAGCTCGGAGGAGAAGACCCCTTGCAACCTGAGAGATTTGGCCAGCTCAGAAGATGTCTCCCAATGCGAGTGAAGACAATGCAGCCTTCCTGCTTGACCCTATCCAGTGCCAGCGCATCATCAGAAGTTCGCAAGAACACAACCCGAAACCCCTAAACCCGATCAGAATTTGCCAAATATGACAACCCAGTGCGCTCTCTGATCTGGTGATTGGCCCCTCGGAACCCCACACACGAGGTACCGTATGAGATTTCCGTGGCCGATGACAACCTGCACAGCATGACAGGTCGAAGAAACAGTGCTTTGCTTATTGCTGCTACTAGTGTCGCGAGTCTCATCCGATTTGCTTTGACTTGTGATGTTATCTCATGCAGTACACGGGATTCGCTGCGCGGAATAACTTTGTGGGTGTGGATATAACTGCGACTCTCGTTCGGATTCCAATCAATTTCGACTGCTGGTGGTTTGCCCCAGTCTTTGGCTGTTCCTGCCATGCCTACCACTTCGTCAAACCTCTCAGGGTGATGAGCACAAAGAGCACTGTCGATGTTCCAGAATGTGTACACTCTGGCTCAATTCTGAGCTTCATCCGACTGTCAGAGACTTGCAGAGTCTGTCTTCTCAGCATGCCTCGGCACTCGCATCCGGACCACCAGCAGGCCGCCACTGCACGGGGGAGACAGTGAAAATAAGCTGTGAAAAAAGGGCTTTCGCTTCGATCGCAGCAGGCGCGCACCACATGAGTCCGCAGCGCCCCTTCAGCGCGGGCCCCGTCGCTCGCGAGGACCTCCCATGAAGACACTTCTTGGCTGCCCTCCTGAGCTATTTGCTCTCCTGGCCTCGTGAGGAATCTCCTGCAGCTGCTCCTGGCAGAGCAGCAAAAACAAGGCGGCTCGCCAAAGCCCGGAAAAGCAGGTCGGAGTGGCCGGCGCCGGGCTAGGAACCTGCCGTGAGCACAGCAACCGCCAGCCCCGAGACTTGTGGGTTTTCTGTCTCGACTCCTCAGACACTATGATATTATACATAATATAATATTAAATAAATTATGTTATATAGTATAGATCATGTGTATATATATATATATGTATATATGCACATATTATATCTTATATATTAGATATACACATATTATATAATATAAATAATATATATATATATATGATATATATATATATATATATATTTATATTAAAAAAATATACATACCTACTATAAAACTAATCTATATATTATGTTTTGTATTCTGCTCTGGTGTCCGACATCTCTAATCCTTGCCGGGCCACCACCGGGATGCCTTCGGCCAGCAGCGGGGACTCTTTGGTCCGAACCTCTCTTTTGTGGGAGTCGACTCGTCTTTTCGGGGCACCTCTTTTAAGGACACCCTAAACCCTAAACCCTAAGCCCTAAACCCTAGACCCTTTCGTGCAGTTTAGGCTTTAGGGCTTAGGCTTTGGGGTTTAAGGGTCTGGCTATCAGTCTTCAAGGGTGTCTGACTTGCTCTCGTCCGACCCTTCCCGACTCGGAGCCAAGTCGACCACCGAACATACCTTGATGCTTTCAAGCTCTGCTTTTCTTACAACCCATGGGCAAAAACGAAAGCTTCTGTCACATGGAGCCTTCGGATCCGTGTCATGACATCTGGACCTCACAATAAGGCATCGTTACTTGAAAGAACACCCTCTATATGTACCCATGAGACTTGAGGCAAAGATGATCAGTGTTGGTGCCTTGCCGAGGGCCTTTTGGATGATTTCGGCGGTAGCTTTGGCCTCCGGGGCGGGCGAGTGGAAAATCACCTTGGCACGAGTCAAGAAGCACAGAATGCGACCCCTCAAAGCTCCGAGTTGTGATGGTAATGCCGATGCGCAATCGTAGAACATGGCTTGGCCGAAGAATGTAGCTGCCTGCTCCAGTCCAGTTAGGCTAGTGACTAGTTAATCCTCCCCTTTGCTGGGTGTGCTGCCTTGCGCTTGCAATTGGCAATCTGGCTTTGAAGCCTCGCTCAGAGACGCATCCACAAAGCAAACCCTTCGTAAACACCATCTTGGGGCGCCTCGAACCCAAAACCCAAAACATGAACCCCAAAGTCAAGATACTGGTAAGCAAATAAAATGTACCAAAAATTATAGTAAAAAAATACCGCAAATGTACCACTGCGAACAGACTCTGAAGATACGGTAAGCAAGGAACAAATCCACGAAGGATCGCTGGGTGCCTCTGAGCCGTGGCTTCGGCCTGGCGTCTGCCCAGTGGGGTCAGTGGCCTCGGAAGGAAGCCGTGAACAAACGAAAGGATCCTCTAGTAGTAGTAGCAGTAGAGTAGTGGTAATAGTAGGAGGAGGAGGAGGAGTAGTAGTAGTATCTCAGAGTGTATCGTGGCGTAATCCTGTGCATAAAAGTAGCTTATAACCTCTTATGGTATACCATGGCATACTGTATACTAATGTAAGTTATCGTGTCTTATAGTATATGACAAGCTGTACTCAAATGAACCCATCCACCACGCCACCGGCAACAGCTCAGAGCTCCGCAGCATCGCTTCTTAACTGCCACAAGTGCTTTAAGGCTTCGCATCCGGCATTGCAAAAAGTGGTCGAGCTCATACGGTTGATAATATAAATCCTGCATTACCCATAATAGGGAATATACCATAATTCCCATAGTTTAGGGTCCTTAAGGTCATGCTAAGGATTTAAATCATCAACAGTAGTTACGAGCCGGAGCGAGAGGCCCAGCTGACCTAGCTGAGCAGCGAGCTCGCCGTCTCCAGGCTGCGCGTGCCGGATGAAGAAGACATGGCGGGTGCCTGCTGCAGCCGAATATGCCCTCTTATCAGCGTGACATTTCAACATCTGAGGTGCAACCCTAGATGACA